TGCGGCATAAACACGTTTTAATCAAATTTCTTAAGAATATCTCGTTAATTAAATTAAAAAAAGGTTTGCGTGTTTCTTTAGCGTAACAAAAGAAAAATAACTAAAAACTTTTTGGGGGAGTTTTAGATTTATAGAGACAATTCTGTAACGTGTTTTGTTCTCATGTTTGTAAAGCAATTGTGAGTGAAAATCACGTTGAAGTGATGCCATTTCATTTAAATTACTATAAAACTATATTTGGACAGGTAAAAAAATATAAAGTTCTTGAAACTAAAAATAGACATTTGCACGATCATTCCGCTCTAAAATGAATTAGTACGACATTAACGAAATAAAACCCGGCCAAGTGCGAGTCTGACTCGCGCAAAAAGGGTTCCGTACCATTACCCATAAAAACGGAAAAAATCATGTTTGTTGTATGGGAGCCCCACTTAAATACTTTTTATTCTGTTTATAGTACTTGTTGTTATAGCGACAAGAGAAATACATCATCTGTGAAAATTTCCACTGTCGTAACTATCACGATTCATGAGATACAGCCTGGTGACAGACGGACAGACAGACAGCAGTGTTAGTAATAGGGCCTCGTTTTACCCTTTGGGTGCGGAACCCTAAATTTATAGTTTTTTTTAAATTAAAATCAAAGTGCTTTGACCCCGATAAATCGATTTGAATCGTTGGCCAAGTGCCATTCACTGGCGTAGAATTTAATGTGGTCGGGTGAGTTAACCAACACCAGACGTAACACTACTTCTCTTTACGCCGTACTCGTAAAAGCGAAAGGCAATTAAGAGAAAACGGACCGGTATACTCGTATATTCTATATATATACTTAATTTGGTGGCAGACAATTGTAGCAAAGCTTAAAACAATATCATATAAAGAATAAAAGTAAATAGAATAATTTATAATTTCCATAACACATCCATAAAAGTAATGTTTTGTAATTTTTTATATCTCTCGCTTGACATGGTTAAGGCACGTTATGAGGAGGGATGGGAGTCATGAGACTAGAAGGGTGATTGGATGGCGTAAAGAAGAAGAGAAAAGAATTATTTGACAGTCAAAGAGGTGAGAGTGAGACATGACGGCTGATAGAGGAAAGTGGAAGGAAGGGACATGCTGTGCCAACCCCATCTAGTGGTTAATTAGGGCAGGAGAAAGACAGCCCTATAGTCCCGGGCTCATAGAATAGGGCTAAGGTATCCCCTGCCTGTCGTAAAAGGCGACTAAAAGGGGACACGGATGGGCAGCAGCACGAAGTGGTCTCGTGCTGCTTCAAGACGATGAGGGAATCGGAGAAGGTTTATCCTTCTCCGAGGCGTGCTCAGGCGTAGTACCGAGGGACACCGGTGCGTTCCATGGGAGATCCCGGAGTCCCTCTAAATGTACGGAAGGCGGCCACCGAGGGGGTTTTAGTGGCTAAGAACCCCAAATAACCCTGTCATATAAAGTGACAGGGTATCTTTCGAAGATATCCCCCCAAAAAAAAGGGCAGGAGAAAGAAGACTTGCTATTAATCTCTACTTCATGAGGAAACCACGTCGAAAATGTGGCCATCTTTGATAATAATTATCACACTTTGCATAACGTATGTTTAATAAATAATATATTATAAGTCGCAGTATGAAGGTCCAGTACTAAAGTATAACAAAGTATAAAGAGTAAAGTCAGACCATATAATTTTGGATCCCTCAAATTTCTGTCGCGTGTAGGGTACGAACCCGCAACACAACGCGCAGTAGCGCTTATTGGTTGCAGTAAGCCGCTGTGCCATGCGTGGGTTTTAATTACTTACATGCAAGAACCACTGCCTCACATATCTCCATCTGTACCTCATATATGTCCAATATACTGATAATCTCACACCTTTTCATGCTCAAATAGGATTTGAAATGTTGACGGAATCTATACCTGAAATTTTACGTGTTTTTTTTTAAATAAAAACGTCATATAAAATAAGTTTTATTTTATTTTTAATTGTGCTAATCTGTGCGCTCTTCCTCCACATCTTACTTGCCTGATACAGAATTTGAATTTGTACCTTGATGGCTCTTGCTTTGTGAAGCTGGAAGACCAAAAATCCAAGTCATTCCATACAGAACGAGCCGTGCGTCAGGGTTGCATATTATCACCAAAACTGTTTAACTTGTATGGCGAACACATTATGAGAAAAGCTTTGGATGAATGGAAAGGCGGCATTACACTAGGCGGACACAAGATTAGGAACTTGAGGTATGCAGATGACACTACCTTAGTTGCGTCAAGTGAAGTGGAGATGGCTATTCTTCTGAAGAAAATTGAAGAAGAAAGTGCCAAGCTCGGTCTTAAGATCAACCGTTCAAAAACCAAAGTAATGGTGGTAGATAGAGCAAATATACTCCCAATCAGCGACGCACTCGATGGCTATCAAAAAGTCACTGAATTTGTGTACCTTGGGTCCTTGATTACATGTGAAGGCAGCTGTACGGAAGAAATCCGCCGTAGGTCCGGTATGGCTAAGAGTGCTATGGCTAACCTCGAAAAAATATTGAAAAGTAGAAGTGTTCGTCGGGCGACTAAGGTTCGTTTGGTTCGTGCCTTAGTTTTCTCGATATTTTTGTACGGCGCCGAAGCATGGTGCGTGAAAAGTCGCGACAGCAGCAGAATCGATGCTTTTGAGATGTGGTGTTGGCGGAGAATGCTGCGGATACCATGGACTGCCATGAGAACAAACAATTCCATCCTTAAAGAACTGAACATCAATAAACGACTCTCACGCATATGTCAGGAACGTGCTTTCAGCTTCTTCGGTCACATTATGCGTTCTTCGCGACATGATCTGGAGAGGCTCATTATCTTGGGTCAAATAGATGGCAAACGTGCTCGTGGCAGGGCGCCTACAAGATGGTCTGATGCTGTAAAGGGGCAGTGGGGGTTGCATGTATCGGGCTGTCCATGAGTCGCATGATCGCACTGGTTGGCGATATATTGTTCGTGGTCACGATCCTCAGCATTGAGGGAACGAGGAAGAAGAGAGAGTGCACTTGACATGAAACATTAAAATTTTGAGAAAAAATGGACGAAATGTTTTCCCTAGAATCGAACTTTCGTCTTCCGGATTTACGCCCAGACGCTTTAAACACTAAGTTAAGGCTGCTTGCCACACCGATGAAAATCTCATTGTTTTTTCGCATGTCGTGTTCCTATGTTTTTTTATGTGAGAAAGTGGCAAACGAGCTGGCGGTTCACCTGATGTTAAGTGATAACCGCCTGTCCATGGACGTATTCAACACCCGTAGGGTTGCAGATGCGTTGCAACCTCTTAATAATGTGGGCCCCGGCTATCTCACTCACCAGACGAAACGCAGAGTTGCAACAGTTCTACTTTACGCCGGTCTTCTGTGAAGTCGTGGTACTAACCGTCCGGGACCTGCCCATTCGTGCAACAGCGAACACTGTCACGTGGCCCTACCACCGTAAAATGATATTTGTAAAATGTAGTCTATGTTTATAAATCAAAATAACATTATTATTTTGATTTATAAACATAGACTAGTTTCCAATGTATTACACGAGTAATCACTTTATAATACGTAAATGATACAACGTCTAAAATATGTAATAAGTATTCACAAAATTTTCGCAAGGAAAAGAGCCTCAACATCTCACGACCTTTTCGAAGGTCACTTATCGAAGTGTAATAGTAATTTTTTTAGTGCACACCCTGTTTGACATCTTTCTACACGCCACCAAATCAGGACGAGGCTTGGAGCAGCATTTTCCTCCAAGTGTTGCCGCCATATTTTATAATACAACGGATTTAATACTGGGCTGGAGGAGCGCCACCCAGCCTTCGCGCTTTTCGCTTCATGAGCTGGCGCAGAATCTTGTTGGACATGTCCAGTGTCTATTATTGAACGTATGAGAAATAGGATCAACAAGGTTTGTGATGACTATATTTAGAAATTTAAATTGTTTATAGTGCTAATCTTTGCACTTAAGATTGAACATTAAAATATGTAGAAAAAGTGCGAAAAGATTGTCGCCGCTGTGGGAATCGAACCCACGTCTTCGGCATTCACGGCCTGATGCTCTAGCCACTGAGCTAAACGGCTGATTGCCACACCGACGAAAATCTTAACGCATTCTTCTACATTGTTTTCTTAGCATTTGAAGCAATGCTTGGCGCCATCTATTGTTATATCCTTTCCAGCATACAAACAATTTCGAATATCGTTTTACAACGATAATTCGAACGAGAGATGTCGCCATTGCTTTTTTAGAAATTTAAATTGTTTATAGTGCTAATCTTTGCACTTAAGATTGAACATTAAAATATGTAGAAAAAGTGCGAAAAGATTGTCGCCGCTGTGGGAATCGAACCCACGTCTTCGGCATTCGCGGCCTGACGTTCTAGCCACTGAGCTAAACGGCTGATTGCCACACCGACGAAAATCATAACGCATTCTTCTACATTGTTTTCTTAGGTTCGATTACCACAGCGGCGACAATCTTTTCGCACTTTTTCTACATATTTTAATGACTATATTTAGATTCATTTTTATGCCTTTCTCTCAAAAATACATCTCAGTTAAGCCCGAATATGAGACTCCCAGCCAAAGTATGAGTGACGATGGCAAAACGGCTGTGCTGGAAATGCCAATTGCGGCTGCCTACTTCTTCAGTGTTTTGGGGGTACACCACACCTACACAACTTATTGTAGCTCTCCTCCACATTAAAAATTTTTCATCCGAAAAATGAATTTCGATATTTTTTCTCGAGTACCGATTCAAAAAATTCCCTTCAGTCTCAGGTCCATTACAAAAGCGTCCAAATCATTTCCTGTTTTTCTTCGATAAGCTCGACGTCTTCATCCAACACTCTTTAAGGGTCAACAACTTCTGCTAACGCTTTTTTTCTGTCCTCCACATTCGAATTTGTTGGAGCGATAAGCGAATCTTTTGGTTATGTTAAAAGTGCAACAGAAGTAACGTAGATACATGTCGAGGTTTTCGCGATGTCAGGTCATCAGCCGCTTAGCTTAGTTGGTAAAGCGTCTGTGCGCGAAAACAGAAGACGCAGGTACGAATTCCGTAGCGTCGAAAGTTTTTGTTCATTTACGTACAAAAATTTATAATTTTAGTTTTTTCTTTGGTTGTATTAAAACTTTCCAGTAGTTTGAAAACATAATTTGGCGCGTAATCGCAGCGATGCAACGTTATAACCGCAACTGAGTCTAATTAAGCGTCTCCATTTAAAAATAAATAAAATTCCTAATAAACGCATTTTCATTTTCATAAAACATTAGAAGTTCGATATTTTTGTGGCCAGCATTAAAAATTGACAAGTATTCTTAGTATACAGCGTGTCTTTGCAACCGTGACAATAAATAAACAAAAATATAGAGGTTAACTTTTTAAAATTGTATTAAACATTTAAATTTTTTAAACATCAAAATTTACCGAGTTATTACATTTTCCAAAACAAACAATTTTAGAACACCCTTACGTATAAAACTGTAACGTAAACTTCATTTGTAAAGGTCACACATGAATGGGTTGAATGAATTTAAAAGAGATAAAACATACTGTTAGAAGGAGAGGCTTGTAATGCGACGCTGTGGCAACGAATAAAAAAGTCTCTAATGTATGAATCAGTCAGTTGTAGTTGTATAGGATGTTACAAATTTTGTTTCTTTTTTACTTAATTAGTTTGAAAAATATTTTTTTTAACGTTTTATATTTTTATATGATTATTGGCAAGTAGGGTTAGACGTGTGTTCATTTATTGTCGCAGTTGTTACGACACGCTGTATATTGACCCGACTATTAAAAAATCGGCAAATTCTGATACATCTGGTATCCCTCTAAATCACTCACACATAGATCGTACGATGGTTTTTATATGCCTCGCGCGGGGTTCCGTTATTTTATTAGTATATTGCCGCCGCCCGATAACGCGCCGCTATGTCTAGACAACATTGCACCCCTGAGGCGCCTAACAAGGCGCCACGCGGTCGCCCGCCGCGACAACACAGCACCTAACAAGGCGCACCACCCGCCGCACACGTCCACACACCATACATATGCACTAATACACACACATACAAGCTCAGCGCAATCAATGGCGAAAGCTGTACACACATACGGCTCAGCGCAGTCGACGGCAATCGCGAGGTCCTAGATTCCTGGTGCTTTTTGAAACGTTAACGTTAACGTTTGATATTTAATGATGAATGCCTTTAAGCCCTTTAGTCTTGTAGACGTTGGATGCTTCTTCTATGGAACTGGGCATTGCCAGTGTCTCACCTGATGATGTAGAAGCCTATTCACTCACTTTTAGTTTAACTTTCCAATTACTTTGAGCAGTGAAACTTATTCTCAGAGTAATGTTTTTCCCGCACATGTTAATTTTGGCTTAAACGTATTTTTCGAAATTTTGCGTGCCGTAACAACATATTGACTTAAGACTTAAAAGACAAGCTGACAACTGAAAACACGTTCAGAGATTTCCAATCCACGCTTAGCGATCCACGGCGGACCACCCGCCGGCGACAGGGTGGGAGCCCTGTCTCGGGCGGGTGGTTTGGCGCCACGATGTCCCGAGCCCTCCGTACCCCGCCCCACTTATCGCCCCTCGCTCTGTAATACCCAGGCGTCTGCCCGCTCAGACGCGCGCCGCGTCCGCAGCGGAATGGACAGATTGCTAATAGAGGCGGTGCACCGAAGGGAGCCGATATGGAACCCTGCGAGCCATCTCCACAAGAACTCGAACATCCTGAAAAGAATGTGGCAGGAGGTGGGCGCGGAGTTGCACAAAGACGGTTCGTATGCAGTGTTCTATTGGTCATGTAGCTGTCGCTTTTTCAACCTTATATCAAAGCTCGTGCGTGCTAATTCACAGCGCTTATGTACTGTGTACATTATTAATATATTAAAATTCTATCCTCATCTAATGTCAAGTGTAGACAAAATTTTACTTTGCTCAATTACTGAACGAATATTTGTCACACAGTTTTATATAGATCATTCTTTGCCTTTGCCTATATCATATTTGTTGATTATTGGCATAGTCAACTGACGCTCGTGCTTTATTTTTAATCAATTTAATATCGTGATATTTAGAATTCCCGAAACGTGTCATACTTTCCATAATTTGGACCATTAAGTTTATTATGTTAAAACAAATGAGAACATGATTAGTTAGTGGTGGCAAAGTGGTTAGAGCATCGGACTTACGATAGGGTGGACGATTTGGAAGCTCTGCAACGTACACGTTGCGTTAAGTGCAAAGAACGCCACCTTCACTTGTTTTCGCAATTTAGGCAGACTTATTACCCTATCACCCTATACAGCCGTTATAGCTCAGTGTCCGGACGCTCGCCTTTAATTCAATATACTCGAGCAACCTGAGTTTAATCCCCAGTGCCGGCACCAATGAAATTATTGATTTTAAGTGCTGACTTATCACTTGATAAGTGTCCAGTCGCTCTGTGCTGATGGAAAACATCGTGAAGGCATATGTGAAGTCCGCCAATCGGCAGTGGAGCCGCGTGGTGGACTATATCCTGATACCCTCTGTACAGAGGCCTTTGCCCAGCAGTGGGACATGTTTAGGTTGTTACTTTTATCACCCTAACACGATTGCAACTAAATACGATTAAAATTGTGTAGATAAAACTCGCATAGATTTTCGTCGTTGGCAAGTTTGACACCAGCTTAAACTTTGTACAATAACATTAATACCACAAAGTGTAATAGTTGTAAAGGAATCACATTAGAAAAAGTCAAGCATTACTACACATACAATAAAAATAAAGTATATAAGACGATGAATATTTCGCGCGGTGAGGATGTCCACCGTTTATCTTAGAAGTTAGAGCGACTGTACGCATAATTGGCAAGGCGCAGGTTCGAATCCTGACAGCGGCTAAACATATTGCTACAGTTTTAATTACACATGTTTAAGTTTTATCCTAAGTGCAAATTACCAGCACACAAAATTAAAGTAAACATGGTGAGTGAAACCAGCGGGTCATGCACTCAATTCCTACTGAGATATAAGGCATTTATATATGCTCGAGGATTTATGTATTCTATATACGGAATAATACAAGTATGTATATATATACATACTTGTATTATTCCGGTTCTAGGTGCTTCTTCTTCTGGGCTCCGTCTACGACTTGTGTTAGTAAAACTTCTACGCAACTAATACAGAATTTATTGGATATTTTCGACTATTATATTACTCGGTACAGGTGTACTGAGTACAATCATAGTCGACTTCTGTTTGTCTTTATCCAATAAAGACAAACACAGAAGGCGACTATGATATGATGCTAATGATACCATACTGAGGGATGGTAAAAAATAAAACCGTTTAAAAACTTTTAAGTTAAACTTAAAAGCTAGTTTAACTTAAAAGTTTAGTTTTATTCTTAGTTTTATTTTCTGTTTTCTTTTTTTTTGTGCACTGAAAACTACAATATTGTATTGCCATCTAAATTAAATGTGTGTACCAAATTTCAGATCAATCTGACAACGGGAAGGTGCTTAAATTTCAATTTCTAATTTTGACCCAAATAAACAAATAAATTCCGTACGTGTCGAGCTAAATAAAACCGTTTAATAAGAACCAACATATTTTTCGGTTATTGCTATTTTAGCAATTTTAACACTCTTTTCCGACGATCACGATACAAGATCATTCTGCGCTATTCGAAAAAATGTTTTATGGTACATTTACCAAAATTTCATTTAATTGTCACTAACCAATCAAAATGTCTATTGAATCTCCTTCATCTATCCTCAAAATCTATGACCACTGACGTTTATAATCCAATTAGAAAATGTGCTCATCGACAAAACTTTTGTTATAAGGTCGCCGGTATCCAGTTAATAGTAAACACTGTCAGATAAATCATGCAGTATAACTTTTCGTTTTCTTCATACTTTTAGATTTGGATGTATTTTAAAATTTATTCTTCACAGATCTCAATAACTTTCATGAATGGACCATACGCGGTGAAGCCATTTATTATGGCAAGTTATTTCAGAGGCAAGGCAACTATACATAATTTCATTTAATCACGGTTAATATACATACAATAGTAAAATTCTTCACGTTTAATTACTTTCTGAGATATCTGTATAATAATTGTTCAGTATGGGTGGTTGCTAAGCAAATCGATTCTCTCTACTGAGAAGCATTTGAATTTCCGACAGATTGTGCTCGACCGTGAAAGCTCAGCATCCGGGTGCTCGCTTTTAATTCAATATACTCGAGTTCAAATCCCGGAGCCCGCACCAATGAAATTGTTAATTTTTAGTGCTGAGTTATCATGTGCTCCAACGACGAAGGCAATCATCGTAACAGGAAACCTGCTATTTAATAAAAAAAATCGAATGTATGTGCAGTCTGCCAATCCGCAGTGGGTTCGCGTGGTGGATTATACCATAATACCCTCTGATAAGAGCAGGCCTTTGCCCTACAGTGGAACATATTATATAGGCTACTTTACTTATTTAAGGATACGTATAGTACAGTGCAAGCCTCATCTGATGTCTACATACAAGATAAATAATTATAGAATGAAAAATAAATATCATTCAAAACTGAGTGTCACTACCTATATGGAGGAGCCCAGCAGTGGGATATGTATAGAGTATATATTTACACGATCAGTGTTTATCTATGATCGTTTTAACACATATGTCATAAGGGATATTTGTAGACTAAATAAGAGATAAATCAATCTTCCATTGTTGCAGCGATAACGGCGAAGACCAGATGGAAGAACCTGCGCTCGTACTACTTGAAGGAGTGCCAGAAGGTGAACAACAGGAGCGCGAAAGGCGGCGATCCGACGAGCACTTGGCAGTACTACGACCAGTTGCACTTCCTAAGGGGAACGTTAGACGGACAGAAGCAGAACGGCACGCAAGAGGAATACGAGGGCGACGAGATATTCATAACCAATCTGGACGGACCGATGTCGTACCCAGAGTCGCCAGGGCAGTCCTCAACGGAGGCATCCAACAGCACCCCCACTAGAAAGAGGAAGATCAAGCTTTTAACGTCATCCAACGATAACATAGACAGCTATACGCTGTTGGAACTCGAAAGGAGGAAGCTAAGCATACTGGAGAGCGAAATGGTGCGGAGTTCGAATGACGATCTGCTGTTTTTTGAGAGCCTCCTGCCGTATTTAAAGGATATGCCTCTAGAGCGGAAGCTGCGTCTCAGATCAAAGATACAGGATTTGATTTGCAGCGAGTTAAACGTTCAAGAGGAGGTAACGGTCAAGAGTGAAAATTTTAGTTATTAATTATGATAAATTTCCGCGTGCAAATTTTATTTAAATACAATCGTTGAATTGTACCATTGTTAATAACGTTGTTATAAGAGAATTATATGATGATTCTATAATTTATAGATATAAATAATTTATGTTTAAATTAGATATACGGGACAGTGAAAAAATGTTGAAATTACCGATTTTAGTAATATTTGAATATGTTATACCAATGTATGTCCAGATAAAAAAAAGTTTTTTTTAGGTTTAGATGTAGTTAAGGATTTAGAAAGCTTTAAAAATTTGGCAGGAACGCACTAAACTTCAAATTACATTAAAAATTCCATCAAATTAAAGAAAGTAAATACAGTCAAATACACTTGATTTAATGAGCTGTTTTAGATGCATTTTTTGATATTTTTTTTAAATATACAATTAAAAAAAAAGTGAAACAAGTTTAAAAAATCAAACTTTTTACACTTGAATTTCACAAAGGTTCCGTACATTACAATTTTTGATTCTTTTTCTAGAAATAGTTAACAGTGTATCTTTTAACAGTGTTTTTATAAAAATAGTTACAGTCCTTGCGTCATCATGGGCGTTTTTTTTTTTTTGGTATCGGGGGGAAATCTTCCAAAGATACCCTGTCACATTACATGACAGGGTTATGTGAGGTTCTTACCCACTAAAACCCCCTCGGTGGCCACCCTCTGTACGTTGAGAGGGACTCCGGGATCTCCCACGGAACGCACCGGTGTCCCTCAGTACTGCGCGTGAGCACTCCCCGGAGAAGGATAGCTTCCCCGGTTCCCTCGCCATCTTGCAGAAGCTCGAGACCACTTCGAGCTGCTGCCAATCCGTGTCCCCTTTTAGTCGCCTTTTACGACAGGCAGGGAATACCTTAGCCCTATTCTATAAGCCCGTGACTACAGGACTGACGGGGCGGCACGTCCGTTTCCGCCGCCCTGGCGCCTTCGTCTTCGAGCGGGATCAGCCCTCTCCCGTTCTCGTTCAGCGATCTCCTTCTGGAGCATAACAGCTTCGCAGAAGGAGACTAGTGCCGTCCAAGTAGATTTCTCCACCAGTGCAGCTGACACTGCCACTTGTGGAGAAAGGTCTTGCCCGATCTTTTGGACCAGGATCCGACGCTCTGACTCCCACGCGGGGCACTCATCAAGTGTGTGCTGCGCGGAGTCCCGGTCCCCACCACAATGGTGGCATTGCGTTGTCGGTTCGCGTCCGATTCTATTTAAGTACTCACCAAAGCATCCGTGCCCGGTGAGTACCTGTGTCAACCGAAAGGTGACGTGCGCAAATCCCCTCGCGCTAAGCCAGGCTTCGAATCTCGGCAAGAACGTGGGCGTCATCATGGGCCTAGGAGTCGTTTAAAAGCTGGACCACTTACAGTGTCACTGTAACTGGGTAACTGCCGGTGCTTGGATGACGCCTGCTCCAACTAACGCGAGATTACAAATACTTCCAATAGAATATTTGTTATATATATTTTGTTTACCTCATTGTTTTTGAATAATCATTTGATCGTACTTTGATGGCGGTATTTAAAATTACCATGAAACGACATAATTTTTATTTCGATAACTTAATGTTTGAAATAACTTATAACTTATATGTATTTTTTTTGTAATTAACTTATATGTTATGCATTGTTGTTCTGAATTTCCTCTAGCCAAGTGTCGTCACTTTTTGTGTTCTTAGTTACGTATACATAATACGCCTGAAAATATTTTAATGCGACGAACACTTCCCAGAATTTTTGAAATCCAAAACAAAAAACGTTAATGCTGAGATTGTGAATTGACAAGACGTGTCAATCCGCTTGGTTGTTTAAGAATTTGTGGCAAGCGAGCTGGCGGTTCACCTGATGGTAATTGACAACCGCATTTGCAACACCGTAGGGTTGCTGATGCGTTGCCACCTTATAATAAAATGTGCCTCGGCTACACTCACCAGACGAAACGCAGAAGTATAACACTTCCACATGACGTCGTGGTATTTACCCGGACGGACCTGTCGATTCGTGCAACAGTGAAGACTATTGCGCGGTCAATAAAATTGTTTATAGTGTAAAGAATATAATGTAGTTATAATGCTTATACTTTTTTCGAAAACTAGCTCTTTATTATCTTGCAACAATATCTTGGTAAAGCTCGTCTTATAATATTGAAAAATAAACTATTTATTTCTTTTTTTTTTTGTGTACAGATGAAGAATGTTGATACGAGGGGCGTTTCAAACTATTTTGTAAAACCCCAGGACAAAGAACTTTAAGTACCTCAATATAAATATGTAGTTTAATTAATATTGTATATAATATGTATAATAATACTTCAGTTACTACTTTATTATTATTATTTTAGTGTTTGTTTTTCAGGCACGCTTTTAAATAGTTTTAAAAAAACTCGAAAAATCAACTTTGTATATAAACTACTTGGCAAGAACCGAAACCAGTTTGGTAAAAGGTATAAAGATATTACCAGAAATAATTTAGATAGATAAGTACGTAACTATAAAAACGATTATAAAATATCTATTTAATGATGAAACTAAAACAAACATTTTTAATTTTCTTTATTGTGGAAATACATTATTATTATCCAATCATATCTGGAGCATCATTAATACACGTTATTATTAAATAATACATATGCATATGATAATATGCAATGCTTATATAAGTGTAGCCTGTTGCTGTCACCTATTATAACATTATTTATTTTATTGATTTCATACCACACTTGCAATTGTTGTATAAATGTAAACCAAAAGCCTTAATACAAGAATAATAATGTCAAGTGGGAATATTACAAAAACAATAATTATTATATTAAATTTATATTTGAGTTCATATTTCAATGGTATTACAAAGTAAGTAAAGTTGACAAATTAAAATAACTGAATTAAGGATATAAGTTAATAAATTAAAATAATCTAAATTCATATATGGAATATAAATTATATAACAGTTTTTTTAGAAAATCCCTGTTTTCAGGGAATGAAAAATCTCATTCGAATATGACAGTAAATTTCGCCGCAAAAAAAAAATGTTATAATAGCTCGGTCAGTAATGGGGCGGCCTCAAAACAGACGGCCGCGGTTCGTATCACGATCATTTACACACTTATTTGTTTTACATTTTTTTATATACCAGATCATTTTCTTTATTTTTTTTATTTCCAAAATACATGATTTACCAAAAAAAAAACCGAGCTCGGTCCTCCAGGTACTTTTACTAAAACACCACAAATCCACACTTTTGAGTTCAATAATGATTGTTACTATAGTTGAGGAAGTTGATTTATTGTAATATACTAAGTAGCTTAATATTTATTTTATCCTCGAGGATGATATACATTTGCCACATGAACGTTAAGTAAAAATCAATATTTTATTTTTAAAGAAAAATAACTATTTGTTTTAAATGGGCATAAATTTAAAATAAATGTAACAAGTTGCTATTTTTGTAAAATGATTTTATTTACCTTTAATGATATTTTTATATTCACGTTGTGTCAGGTCTCCATCTTCTGAATAATTACTACGTATGTGTTCAATAAGGGACTGTAATGTTACAAAAATCATTTTTGGCAAATATTACAAATTGAGTTATGTAGAACAATTTTTGCAAAAGCTGAGGTATGAGACGTAAGATATATCCATACTTATATTTACATTACAATTACAATACAATATCAGCCTATTGCTGTCCACAGCTGAACGTAAGCCTGTTAATACTTACTTTATTATAAATGTAAGTGTGTTTGTTTGTCCTTCTTTTACGAAGCAACGTTTTATGTCAGTTTGTTTTCGACATATCTATAAAAACGGCAAGAAAATCCAGCCCGATGACAGACAGACAGGCAGCGGAGTCTTAGTAATAGGGACCTGTTATACCCTTTTGGCACGTAACCCTAAAAAGTAACAAAAATTACATAAAGGTACAATCTGCGGCCTTATCGCTTAGAAGTGATTTCTTACAGGCAACGTATTGAGGTTTGTACGAAATTAAGAAAATAAATTGTTCGTTAAAGGCACATGAAGGTTCAGCCAAGGGCGCCACACGATTGTAGTCTAGACACTCAAATTTAAATTTCTTTGTCCGCACTAATGAAACTCAATTGCAATTAAATTGGCGATTTACCATTTGTAAGTACAGTGAGAGCATTAAATGAAAACAAATATGGAGTTTATTATAGGGAGCAGGACTTAAAGACTATAGTTTCAACATTAAGTCAGACATATTGCTTGTGTGTTAATAGTAATATAGACACATGTTTCATATACTCGAACACTTGTTCAAATCATCATCAATATCAACCGATTTTCGTTTAATGAATAGAGTTCCGTTTAACGAATGGAATTTCGTACGCAACGTTATCTATACCTACACCGCGAAACGCTTAACTCTTTCGTTCAGTCTTATAAGCGAAGCTCAATTATTTGATACCTTCTTGGCAGCGGGTATAAAAATTGTTTACACGCTCACTGTCAACAAACGAAGAGGTTTGGCACCTAGCCAATTACGCGCCAAGTCGGGAGACCACCGAGATGGCGAGTCATAAACAGCATTACACGAAGGCGTAAATATCTTAATTGCCGAGCATCGTGGAGCGAAATACGGTGTTCTTAAGGTTGATGTGTCAGCGCTTTCAAATCAGGATTATTGAGGGTTTTCTCATAAGAAACCGGCTGCGGTAATAACGCGAGAACTAATTTGCCTATCGACAAAAAGACACCAAAAGCCAAATGGTAGGTTTTCTTTGTAATATTAAGTCTTCTTAAAAAAGAATCAGAAATTTGATCGGCATTTTCCAATTTCAAAGTAATATACATGCTAATAGGCGGGAAGTAGTTGTATTCCGTCACATACAATATTTTTGTATATCTCGAGCGCACTAATAAACCAGCGGACGACACAAACGGAGAGACGTTATTATTTGTTTTATACGTAGCCAAGTCTCGATTCAACCTTAATGAAATGGTCTAATCGGGCTGGAAACGCGGGTAACTGTTTACTAATCCACATTTATTAAAACTATCTTTGATTCAAATGATTACAGTAGACCAGCAACTGCTTACATACAGCACCTACTCGACGATTCGTGTTCCTGCGTCTATTCCTATGTATCCCGGTAGTGTTGGTCGATACCAACATTAAAAGAGAAGAAACACGTTACAGAAGATCAGTGTGAAGTAAGATCGTTTATACTCTAACCCAATCTCAAGTGGTTGGAACCACACCTGTCACATCCCCAGTGTTGTAAGCCTGTTCTCACTTCAGCTTCCAGAGTTGCCCACTGTTTGAACTTTTTTTTTTCGAAAGTTTGGCAAGCGAGCGGGCGGTTCTCCTGATGTTGAGTAATTACTGCCGCCCACGGGTGTACACAACACATGATGGAGTGCAAATGTCGTTGTCGTGGTCAACCATAAAAAAATACATCAGCCTTAGTTGACCGTTTTATTATGGGATCATCGTATTTTGACTTTTACTTCTAAACGTGCGTTCATTTACAAAATATCGCAGAGTATGTAAGACTATACGCAACATTATAATCAATGGTACTAGCATTCATTTTCATTACAGTCGTGTCCCTAACCTAACCTTAAATAATACGTGTAATCACAACAGATTGACAAGCTGTCACTAAACTGACATTCCAAGGGAATGCAATTCATCCCATGACACTAAAAGTGCAAGATGTCAGGGACCCTAGACATTACTTAGTTTTTAAATTGTTCCCGACTATCTGTATATATATAATTCTTCTGTACGTGTGTATGTCACTGAACTCCATCTAAACGGCTGGACTGATTTTAATTTGAAAAATTTTGCGTGTCTTCAGTTCGATTTGCGACTGGTTTAGATTCACAATTCGTTTTTTTTTTATTTATATATTGTTGCCGGATTTATTCGCGTGTACAGGACGTCTGTTGAGTCGTATATAAAATCAAGACTGGTAAAAATTACTGCTGATGAAGAGGGTCTGGCATTATTGCATACTAATTTTTAACAATATTTTCTAAAACATGCATAAAAATCAGCAGTGAGGATTCAAGAAATGTGAGTATCTGCCTTTAGCACCTGATACCTGCAGCTAGCAGGTATGCATACACTCAAAGTACATACTGACACAACTTAAACCCATACATTTAATTTCTGAGAAAATAAATAATGTCGGGGTGTCGGCGGCCCTGCGAACTTTGGACTATAAAGACAATATGTGTCACAGTACGGAATACATATAATTATGTTTATTTATTCATATATATTTATTTATCCATTTAATTTATTTAGTATTTGAAATATTGTCTTAATATTTTCTCTAAAATAGGGTAGGAGCGATACACTGCTCTTGTTCCTTGTAATTATTTAATAAACACCGCGAGGCGTCAGCACACAGAACGCCTAAATCCATGCCAGAAGTGAGATAACATAACCGCGTTCTTGTGTAACCAACGCGGAATATTGTTTCAAAGCAAATATTTTGAGTACGGATATATTGTAAGAAACTGTAGTATTAGTTAATCATATTGTTAATGGTTTATTTCTATTTTTTTTACTTAAAACATGGCCCATACTGTAACCTGTTTTCTATGGACGTTTTACGAACATAAAGGTCAGGTGGACAAACACCCAGATCCGAAACAATTACATAAATATTGGAAATCCCACGTATAGAATTTTCTAAATATGCGAGTCATATCAAGATGTTTTCCCTAGTCAATGTTGTAACAAAACGCAAAAATTTATCTCATTGTCGCTTTTTTTTGGTCGCAAAGAAAATGTCAAATAGGACAATCGGTTGCACAAAGTAACTTTGAAGTAGTTGGAAAAAATATAGTGGTTATGTCAAAATAATTACAGTAATAAGTTTATTATGTATAATCCTAAAACAATTCTTAGGCGATACCTGTCCTGTGGGTGTGAACATCTACGATTTCTAGGGTTCGGCGGTGACTTTGACAAAGTAAGTCTCAAATGAAATAATTAAATTTAGTATGAACCGAACCTTTTTATTAAAAAAAACCTTTTAAAAATGTTTGACGTAATATTCAAATGTACAAAAAACATACTCCATTGTTGTTTGAGGAAGTAACAAGGCCACGCGGCAGACCGGCGTAAAGAGCGTAGTTCGCGAGTAAGAAGTGCATATACTTTAGTATTTCTTTAAGTGGGGTAACCGTGACCTTCATAAAGGTGGGCAAAGCGATTTCAAAATTACGATTATTATCCACGGGCGACGTCATATAATCAAATGACATTACGTGACCCGTTCTCTCGGTCGCCAAACTCCCTCATAAACAAAACTGACCACCAACCGGTCTATTCGCGTCCTCCCCAATGATATTTTAATAAAGATGACGCATGTCCATACTGAGGGGCGTTTAAAAATTACTCCGCTTTACATTATATGACTTATCTAAGTGAATGTGACTTATTATATAGAACGTATGATAAGGATAGTTGCAGACTGCAGTGTATAGAATTGCAATCTAATTACACCAATTAGCATAATTTGAGTGCATCAGTTTCGGTGCGCCAGTGTCATATCTTGGTACCTCATCACTACATAGTATAAAACATAGTCGTCCCGCTGTCTGTCTGTCCCTTTGTATGCTTAGATCTTTAAAACTACGCAACGGAATTGATGCGGATTATTTACTAGATAGAGTGATTCAAGAGAAAGGTTTATATGGATATTACAATGCTTCCCATGCGAAGCCGGGGCGGGTCACTAGAAGACATTTCTATATAATATCATTCCCAGTCCACGCATAAGCCACGAGCGATCTGCCCGATTGCCATCACTTTGTTATGCAAACACGAACCGTTAATACAATAACAGGGCAAACGGTGCTTCGTAAGCGAGTTATCGGATTAAAACTGTACTATACACGCACGCGTGTACGTATGTATATAAGATACTAAATATATCGACGGCCGATAAAGGAATCCGTGCCAAATAGGAATATGCGAGCGCATGATTAAATGTATCAACGACCAATTATTAAGATGGTCTGACGTATTTAAGACTTAAATGCCCGAGACGAATCGAATTAGTGGTAATAGAAAAAAGTATGGATCATAAGATATATTATTTACTAGGCAATATTAAGTGAAATTAATGAGATTAAGAAACTAAAACAGACAATGGTATAAATACTGTGGCCATCATTTCAACTACATCATTACGAAAACTACCGTCATTATATTGTTTAATCATTTATATAACAACACCCATATATTGAGCTTAAGAAATAATTAAACATTCGAAATTTTAATCTTAGTAATACAATTACTTATATTAAAGTAAACGTAAACAGAGATTGTGGAATACTCAAACGTACACATAGAACGTGCTAGATTATTCTAAACTAGAGATAGTGATTTATCGTAGCGAAATGGAGTTGTTTATGAGAGGTTGACTGATCTGATCTTATACTGAACGAGATTCTGTATTGTTTTAAATTAATTACACCGGTGGTTGGTAACACATTCACAAGCTGCTTCTCGAATAAGGCAGTCATTTTTAGCGCTAACCAATGTCATTAAAAAAAAGTACAATAAAATCTCAGCTCAAACATTCCGCGCCGGTTTCAATGCTTCAGCCTCGCTTTCGAAATCCTTTAATAGCCGCCTCTAAAGCGGCTAAAATAGTCCGCTATAATACGACCAATTGACCTACTAAGAGGTACTGACGTCACGTGACGGAGAGATAAGAGGGAGAGAGAGACAGATAACACTCACCTCCGAAGTCTCCGTGTAGGGCTGTCCGTGCTCATCCTCGTAGGTTATGTTGATGTTGGCCACTGTGTAGGTGTCGCTGACGAACCTCTCGTCTGCCGACCCGTACCTGACCGCCTCGGGCTCGTTGCCGGGCGCGTGGCAGCCCACCATAACGGCCACCCAGCCCAGGGCCGCCAGCCTCGACCAAAGCCTGTCCGCGCGCATCTTAGCGAACTACGCACATTCGACCACGCACTGCACAATTCACTGTCGCACTGCACGCCTCTACTTCGAAACACTCCGCGTACGTGTGTTCCGAAGAACCTACGCTATCAGCGCTATCGTGCAACGAAAACGATCGCCGATCCAGTTGATGGAGCGCTATCGTTATCGCGAAACGCTGACTTCGCGACGCCCGAACGATGCGAACTTTCGTTGACGGATTTCGGATTTTCCGATTCGCGGCGTCGCGTGTCCTATTAGCGGACTGCGAACGGGTTCTTCTGTCTGCTCTTGCCAGGGGGAGTTATCGTCATGAGATCGACGCAGCCTCACCCCGCATGGTCCCCGTAATGCTAAACGCTCAAATCGCTTGTCCGGTAGTCGACCGCTGCTCCATAACCGGCGAGAAACTTTGAGGCCGCGGGCAGCTGAAACAATAGAAGTGTCGCTTTAGTTGAATTAATAGCCGTGACGTGCGCTTGTTCGCTTAATTTGATTAGTACACACTCGTACATTTGATTACAAATATTGCGGACGTACGTAAGTTACGGATACTATTTGAAAATATGTTTGGAAATCAATAGTTCGTAAAGAGGCTTAGTTAGTCAAAAATCGATGTAATAACATTAGATATCCAAGGTTTGGAAAGTGCTTTTAGCCTCAGATGTTTGATTTAATACGACAAATATCTTTTACCCTTTGCAGTATCATAGAATAAGGGAGACAAGTTGATTAGTTTCATGACGAAAATTGTACCAATCCTACAATTTTCAACGGCTTATATCATACAGTTATGTCTCCAGCTTACGCTGTTAGACTGTGAATGTGATTATGTGCGTGAGCGTCTAGGATAAGATTAATTTCAATTGAAAATAATACGCATTAAAACGATAACTCTCACTAATAAAACAATTCAGTGTACAGCGTAGATAGAACAACAAGAGATATAAATTTCATAAAATTCGCAATAACACATTGGATTAACGTATAAATTAAAAATGTACGCAAGGGGCAATGACCTAAGGGCATCGACCGTTAAAAAATTAAAGCGCACAATAATCTTTGGATCATGACGATTGTGCGATAGAACTGAAAATCGATGGTACGTACTGTGCGAACTAAAAGAATTTTCTTAGAAACTGTTGGCGTTTATTAAATTAGACAGTGCAAATATTAATAACTTTAAGTACAGACAACACTAAATGAAAAGATTTATAAGAACTATTCTAGTTGACACAGGCAATTGCCATACCTTCCTTGTAAAATTAATGAATAAAATTAATTGATATATTTCAAATCTCTATATTATTATAATTTTATTTCGGCCTTAACAATACAAATTTTAACATAACTGTAATATAGATCATTATGCTTCAAAAAAAATGTATTACAATAACTCAATTATATTTCTTTCCACTTCCAGAGATGTCTGAACGAATAATTTTACTATCCAATATTATTTGACTCTATGGCGCAGTTACTATGCGGCGTGGTTCGGTTTCGGGTATGAACCACATATAATTGTCCCGGAGTTGGATGTTTGGTCAAAAGATCGGTCGTAAACTTGGACAATACTATTAACTAAAATGATATTATACACAAATACAAGGTAGATATGACACTAACTAATTGGTGTAATTAGATTGGTAGAATTACATCTATTTATTTCAATCTAATTACACCAATCTACACTGCTATTTATCCTTATCTATAATACGTTCTATAATATCATCTGTCACATTTGACTATTTGTGTGACCTACAGATAGTTGTTTCGCATCTGGGTGTTGTTTGCGTGTAATATATGTTTGTAAAACGTCATTATTACACAGGATATATAATAATATCCTAAAGTAATGGCAATGTTTTATAAAAAAAAGAATAATAGAATAACACATTATATGAAAACAATTCCGGCGCCACATTATTACGGAATTCCTCCTAAAAATGTTTGAAGAACATGTGTATGTATATATTTTTCGTACGCTACTTACTGTATCGCGGACTTAAAAGCGACCTCCAATTCACTGAAATAAGTTTCACTCGAGAAATGATGAATTAGTCCATCAGTACCTGAACTCTTATCTATCACGGCCTTTAAGCAAAAACGAAGACCATAAAAACGTTGTGGCGTAAGGAAATCGCTCATGAAACCGCCGTAAAGGAACAAATATATAAATTGTGTTATTTAATGTGGTGACTGCGTTTCATTAAGTATATTGGAAACTTTAGTGTTCATCGAAGTTTTTAATTATGAGTTTAAAGGATGGCGGCAACTGCCTCCCTCGCCTTATTTATCGGCCGGTAACAAAGTATAAATACTTATAATTCGTGTATCTGTCGCTGGTTTGCAACTTACCGTTGCTTATCACGGCGATTTACTAATTTATAATTAACACTTTATTATTCATGACAATGTAAAATTTTCGTTTTCTTAAATATATTAAAATCACAGGTAAGAAGCTTAATTTAAAATTTTAAAGAATGCAACAAAAACTTGATATTATATTGTTACACTAATAATGCTTTCATACTCTTAATATATATGTATACACCTCACTCTGCTCTGTTCTTAATGTTTTAATTACACTACCATCACAATGGTTGTCCATACATTTATTTCCATCTATTCATGTATTTGGTGTACATTAAAGTGTATATTGATTGATTGGTTATTCATTTCTTATGCATTACCGACGTATGAATTGAGTCGTCCATTTCAGAGGTTAGCTCTGAAAGTGTTAATATAACAAACATGTACGATGTGTACAGCGATTTTATAACGCATGGCAACCCTAGCCCGAGTCTCTCGCCAAGCGGAAATTAGGGCGTAGCACACAATCGTTAAAGGAAAACGCCTTAGACCCATCAACTGTTACAACGGCGCCGACGAACGGTTAACTAGTTGCTGAAACTAAGTAGTCGCAGCATACTTCTTTCTATAAATCAATAGAAATCAGTTCAGCATAGCTAAGGTGCCCAACCGCTACTTTGGTTGAAATCCGATAACATCACTAACCAGATGAAATTAAAAGCGACCATTCTCTATAACGATGTTCTTCTGTATGGTGTACATGATCAAAAATTAGAAAAAAAGGTGGGGGATTATGGACACGCGGTTGGAACCGAGTTACTATCGCTTTATATTTTTTGTTAACGCTGTAGCTCGCACAATTAATCACCAAAAAAAAAATATTTTCTTATCATATATTAATGAAATAGTCAAGCTATTTAGGGTTAAGTTAAAATTATAAATATATTATCTTGCATATCCTCAAAATTAGCGACAAGCAGAATCGATCGAAGTTTTAGTTTCCTAGATGATGGAAGCACCCCAAAAATCGCTACAAAAAGATGTCAGTTTTGGATGTCTTTTTTCATTGTTACACTTTCTTCAGCCCAACACGAAGAATAACAACGTGCGATACTGTACCGAGTTCCAAAAATAGAAAGAGAGCGGCTACATTTGCATGACTTCATTAAAGTTCAGAACTAAAGCAGTTTCACGAAAAATGAACATAATTCACAATACGCTTGAAAACGACCCAACAACACGGTGAGTCAATCATACATCGAGGTACAGAACTACTTTCAAACCGCTCGATCACAAATTCACGTATCGTATATTCAAAGTTCTGCGTGTTACGTAAACGCGCACGTGACACGTACATACTTCCTGCATCGACAGCGAACGCGGTGGCGTCATTTGCCATTGGCGAAGGAGTAGTGCCTAGATTACCAAATAATTCGCGGGCAATGTCGCGCATTCGTGTGCCTTTTGGCAACCAAAGGAAACTAAAGTATGTTTGTTACACATAATTTATCTATAACCTTGTAATGTTTACCGCTTGTAAGTCTTATTAATACTTTATTGCAAATAAGGTATTTGCTATAAATAATATAAATGAACACACGGCTAACGCTACTGGCCAATAATCATAAAAAATACAAAATTTAAAAAAAATCCATAATAAAAAAAATATTTTTATTTTCAAACAAATTAAATAAATAAAAAAGAAACAAAATTTGTAACATCCTATACAGCTACAACTGACTGATTCATTCATATATTCAGAGACTTTTTCATTCGTTGCCACATCGACGCGTTACAAGTCTCTCCTTCTAACAGTATGTTTTATCTCTTTTAATTCATTCAACCCATTCATATGCTTTGTGAACTTTATAAATGAACTTAACGTTACAGTTTAATACGTAAAGGTTGTTCTAAAATTGTTTGTTTGGGAAAATTTAATAACTCGGTAAATATTAAATTGATGTTTAAAGAATGTAAATATATAATACAATTTTAAAAAGTTATCCTCTATATGTGTGTTTATTTATTGTCGCCGTTGTAACGACACGCTGTATACATAAGTAATTGCTGTTAAGTGCTAATATTATTTATAAAATGCTTCGATTTGAATTTGAAACCTTTAACGTTCATGAAATCTGCGTTATTTTAGTTTGCGGGCGCTTGATTTTAATTCAATATACTGAACAACCTGAGTTCAAATCCGTGCCGTCGCCAGTGAAATTGTAGATAACAATTTTAAATATTAATTATTAAATGGCCAACTGTTAGGGAAGACATCATGAGGAATACTGGAACTTTGGAACCATTACATTAAAAAAAGTATTATCTGCTAAGCACTTATACCCTTTGCTCTGTACGGAGGAGGCCTTTGCCTAACAGTTGAACATATATAGTTTGTTACTTCACCTTTATTTTTTAGTGTTTTTTTTACAATAACGTTTAAACGTTATTGTAAAAAAAACACTAATATCTTGAAAAAATTAGGTAGTTACAAACTGCCTTTACACACTGTATGGAGTGACACATTATTTAAATTACATTAATCCATTCAAAGTATCAAACAAAAGGTTTTAAATGTAACAACATTATGGCCTTCATTTCAATCACCCAAATACTACGTGTAAAACTCAATCGGTAAACAGGATTGGCGTCGGCTGCACATCGAATCGTCTAATAGGCATAAATTATTCAAAAGCTGATAAATTTATTCAATAGGATTCTACCGCAAAATTCGTTCTGATATGTACATCACATTTAAGCGCCTCTTTTGAAAACGACAGATTGTAGTATTTCTCTTCGAGTATTACATATATAACTTAGTGCACAGTAACTAAAGTTCAGTTGCGGACTGATTTGATTGTGTGATTTGTGAGGAGTCCGTGACGCCAATCTATTGGCTTCGGCGCGGGGGTCGTGTCCCACACGGGGCAAGCATTTGTGAGACCCACAAACAATTGTTTCGTATCTGGGTGTTTGTCCTTACAGCACAGGATACTGTTACAGCAAGGGCAATATTTAGAAAAAAAATTGAGAAGGCTCTTGTCCGGTCTGGATGTTTGGCGAGTCAATTATAATCTGTATGACTTTTAAAAAGTTGTTTTAAACTGTGTATTTAACAGTTTTGGATTTTGATTAAGCAAGGCATTTTAAGTTTATCAATGTACATATTATGTAACATATAAGTTTTGACATCAACAAATAGCGTACACTATATACAATCTTACATATTTATTTATACCGTATCTTAAATTAATTTCTTTGGATATTTTTATAAAATTAGTGGACACTGACAAACGGTTTACCGGTTGTAAGTTATAGACGAATATTGACGAGAACTGTCTCACGTAGATAAATGTCTTGTCTATCACCTCAGACTTATCACGTTGAAATATTACGAGCTCGTAATGTCTATGTGAAATGTAACAGATATCACTGACAACCCAGTTTCTGCGAAGAGGTATATCAGTATGTAACTGTATAACCCATTTACAATAAAATATCTTTAATAGAACGACTGCAATAATATAATAATCTGTCGTCGATACGTTAAATACACAAACATTAAAAAACAGACCTGGATGATTCAGATCATAAAAATATGAAATATATCTCCTCTATTTTATGGATAAATTGATAAACACTGAAGAATATTATCTACAGCGTGTCGTTATCATCGCGACAATAAATGAACACACATATAGGGGATAACTTTTTAAAGTTTTTTTAAAAAAAAAAAATTAATTATGGATTTTGTTTAACGTTAATATTTTTTTATGATAATTGACAAGTAGCGTTAGACGTGTGTTCATTTATTGTCGCGATGGTAACGACACGCTGCATAATATCGCCATATTATCTTACATAATTTTGACTACGATCTTGAATTAATGTTTTAATTAATAAGTTTGAAACTTACTTTGTCGTAATGGTATTGTTGTATTCTGGGTTCAACGTTCGTTATCACGATTGCAAAACAAAAATTACGTATAAACTGCCAGTTTATGGATATATCTTGGCAACTACGCCACGGAGTTAACCGTGATAGCTCAGTGTCCGGGCGCTCGCCTTTAATTCAATATACTCTAGAAACCTGAGTTCGATCCCCGGTGCCGGCACTAATGAAATGGTTAATTTTAAGTGCCGAATTATCACGTGCTCAGGGGTGAAGGAAAACATCGTGAGGAAACCTGCATATTTTCGAAGTAGTAACAAAAAAGAATATTTCGAAGACATGTGAAGTCCGCCAATCCGCAGTGGGGCCGCGTGGTGAACTATGCCCTGATACCCTCTGTACAGAGGAAGCCTTTGCCCAGCAGTGGGACATCTATAGGCTGATACTTTTTATAAATATAACGTATAAAACACGTGCGATACAAAGGCAAAGCTATGAACATGAGTCCTCCTGTACACAATAATTCGCAAATTACGTAGAAGCAAATATTGTATATTATTAAATTTGTGGTGAAAATACTTCGAAGATGTTCAGGAAACAAAACTCTAGATAAGACATACACATATACACGATATAATAGTCCTTTTGGACAATCGATATTAGTTCAGTTTTGAAGTCTTTGACATGTAAAGATATCAATTTAATCTTGTTGTTGTTGTTGAATGTTATCTACGAGCGTACAAAAAAGCGGCAAAGGATGTCGAGTGTTTTAGGTCAAATGATGACTTTTAGCAGGTTCACAAACATGGCAGTTCTATGTTAACAATACATTGATATCAAAGAACTTCATATTATAATGAATTTGGTTATGGTAATAATTAGTCGAAGTACACTTCGGCTAATTTTCGACTAATTACCATTACCAAATTTCCTCCAATGGTCAACACTAAACCTTTATATATTTCATCAATGATTCATCTTTTAGATATTTCAAAACTTCGGCACAACTTAACTACACTAATGTATTCAAAACATAATTATGTACCTGTTGTGTGTATGTTTTTCTGAAAATAGGATTCATTGCTGTAGTAAGATACTTCATCCACCTACCTTTTTTTATTAAGAAGGTAGGTCTACCTACGGTACAAAGACTTGCTCGTAAAACATAAAATTAAACAAGTACAACACTCATTATTTGTGACGAATAAAAACCACGTAAATTAGTACAATACTTTTCTTCATTCAAATGTTGAACAAGCTTTCTAAAAAGGTAAAAATAAATTACTTTATTACCGATCGCGGATCTCAACAAATTAACTTTCTCTCTGATTCTTGCGTGAGACATCGGTAATCGCAAATACCGTGTTTTTAAAAAAAATGAATTTTCCCTAAATTTTGTTGTCTTACTAATACGGAGAAAGAATGAACATTTCTAAGCGTAGTTATTAAATTTATTTCTTGACCCTCACAATTTAAGCTTGATCGTATTCCTCATATTGGTAATTATAATCTATTGTAAGACTTTGACTGTAGATAGACTGTGAATAGATTTTACAACAGATTAAAAAGTATTAATTTATACGTTTAATATAAATATGTGCCCTACCACAGGATTAAGGAGTGGAGGACAGGTGAGAAAAAGAAGGGAAGCCTTTTGCCCAGCAGCGGGATATAGTCAGAAATTAGGATATTATTTAATTAACTGTACTATTTGTACGATAACGTTTCAGTATTTTTTAGGGTTCCGTACCCAGAGCTAAACCGCTGTCTGTCTGTCACCAGGCTGTATCTCATGAAAAGTTATAGTTAGACAATTTCACCGAAGATTAGATTACTGTTGCCGCTATAACAACAGACACTAAAAAAATAATGAGAAAATATTTAAGCGGGGCTCCTATACGGCAGTTATTATTTTTTTGCTGTTTTTGATAATGGCTGGTTTTTATATCTACAATATGTGCTTGCTAAGCAATAACATTAAAGAAACGAACGTAACTAAGTAATTGAATAGCGAAACGACTTCATTAAACGTTTTATGGAAAAGAAAGGGCGCCGAGGCAATTTACTCGATATCGTGGAAAGCCGGAAGTCAGAAATTGTATTATAATGTCGCCCATTAACGGTCGGGGCCATGGTGACCATGAATGCGGGGTCCGTCCTTCGCAGCGGCCGTGGGGTGGTGACTTGGCTGTTTGGAGCGTAGTGACGTACGTATGTTATTCTCTCGATTGCTTTACAACTTATCGATGGATTTAAGTTTCAGCAAAAGGTACACACACCTGACCGCATACGTATCAGCAAAAACCACCTGTAGTCTTATACCCAAATATTAAAGTGAACAAAAATAATTCGTTAACTATAAATGAAAATATAAAGTCACATACATAATTATATTCGCGTGACTCACTTATGGGTGACAATTCGAGCTAACGAAAAATGTACACTAGCCGTATCAGTCCTTGTGACGTGAATGTTTATCGAATTTTACTCGATACAAAAGTTAAACAATATTGTCTACGATAACAATGTACAAAATAAAATCAATAAAATAGCACAAAAAGGTCCAACGATCCAACAAGGTTTAATATTGCATAAATAATCAATTAAACTCCAATTTAACAGTCATGATTTTAATTGAATGACATTTTCTGATGTGTTTGTGATTATAATGCTCTAATTAGTCTATAGTCAAAGTATACTTAAATGTAGCATACGCTTTAATAGTTTTCTTATATACATCTCCATTGATTTAATCGATTACAAGGAATAGCCGTAATATGTGAACCAAAGTATTAGGAACATATGGTGGAGAGTACAGTATTAAAACATGCAGGTCAAATATGTCCGAAACTAGAGAAAATTGTTATATATCAAGCTACCTTACTATAAATATTTCATCAAAGGACACAGAAAAATCACACATAAAACGTCTAATAATACGACAAATCGCGGCTTTATCGTTCGCTTATCAGTGAAAAGATTTGACTGTCAGTTCAACGATTTCCCGGATTACGAATCGATATTGATGACGGCGCGGTTTATCATTTTTATCGGTCGAAAACAAGCACCTGCGGAATTTTTCGCGTCCATCGATAGCGCACTTGCATCGCCTTAAAACAAGGAGTCGGGGGCTCCCCCTTCGCGTGCCGGCGTGCGCCGTAATACCAGAGGCCGTCCCAAGGCCGCGAACTTGGACCCTAACGATGGCGCGGCATTGACACTGGATCGCATTGTGCTCTTTGGTTGTTCTTTTTTGTTGTTTTTTTTTTCCATTAAGCGAAGAAGCGAAGGCTGTTCGGTCACGTGACGGGAAGTGAGACCGGTGTTGCATAATTCGGACATGTTTTGGAGTAATCGTTCCGCCGAATGGCTTTGGCGAAATTTGCGAACATAATAAGTTTAAGAACATAATAAGATAGTCTTCCACTCGAGTCATGTATTACTCCTTTCCACATAAAAAATATATTTACTTTTATAGAGGGCGCAGCGTTCAAACTCATGGTAGCTGATCATGAGCAGCATTAGACTGGTAGTAAATACTTTGTCGACCAACTGTTTGTACCAAATGGAATAATCGTGTATACCTACTTCGTAGGCTACTGAACAGTCTATTGCTATAATAACAATTATAGCAATAGACTGTTCAGTAGCCTACGACCCTACGATTAGCACTATAAACAATTTAAATTTCTAAAAAAGCAATGGCGACATGTCTCGTTCGAATTATCGTTGTAAAACGATATTCGAAATTGTTTGTATGCTGGAAAGGATATAACATATACTTCGTAGGCTACTGAACAGTCTATTGCTATAATAACAATTATAGCAATAGACTGTTCAGTAGCCTACGACCCTACGATTAGCACTATAAACAATTTAAATTTCTAAAAAAGCAATGGCGACATGTCTCGTTCGAATTATCGTTTTACAACGATAATTCGAAATTGTTTGTATGCTGGAAAGGATATAACAATAGATGGCGCCAAGCATTGCTTCAAATGCTAAGAAAACAATGTAGAAGAATACGTTAAGATTTTCGTCGGTGTGGCAATCAGACGTTTAGCTCAGTGGCTAGAGCGTCAGACCGCGAATGCCGAAGACGTGGGTTCGATTCCCACAGCGGCGACAATCTTTTCGCACTTTTTCTACATATTTTAATTGAATTCTTTATTTGATATAACGATAGAATAACATTCTTTTTACGATAAAACTTAATATGGCAACATTTGTTAGCATTTAGAGTTATTATTTCTGTAGCACCATCTAATGAGTCTATTTTGGTCGTCCTGAACATATTGAATATCTTCAAATGTGTTAATTATTCTTGCAAATTCAAGGTCATCAGCATAAAGAAATGGTATAGAGTGTTTGAAAATAGTGGATATATCATTAATAAGTATATTAAATAAGACTGGGCCCAGATGAGTCCCTTGTGGAACCCCAGGACTTGTGGGAAAAGGAGTGATAAATAACGCTATTGACTTTATAACATCCAGCAATCCAGCAATCCAGCATCCAGCAGGAACCTAAAAAGTCGCCATATTCAAATTGGGAAAATTTGAAATACGCAACCGGATAAGCTAAACGCCGTGAAATTTCAAAACAACGACACACCTGAGAAAGTCATTATAAGTATTGTATAAATTCTCCGATGATTTGTACTTTCCTTGGCACACATGGCACCAATTAGTTTTTACATTTAAATGTGCCGATAAACGTGAGTTATGCTAAAAACCAGACGATCAATTTGAATTGCATCTGACCTGGTTATTTCGGATAACGTTAAAATACGAAACATTTGATAATTTGAATAATATGGAAAGAAAATATTCGCTGTAATAAGGAACGAACCTGCATATCTATTCCCTCAAAAGGAGTCGTGTTATTTTGTGGAACTTGTTTTTTTGCCATTAATTTCTTTTGAAATTTCTACGACAGTAAACAAAGCATTGTCCAGGCGCTCACCTTTAATTCAATATATTCGAGCAACCTGAGTTCAATCCCCGGTGCCAGCACCAATGAAATTGTTAATTTCAAGTGCTGAATTATCACGTGCTCAGCGGCGAAGGAAAACATCGGCGGCGAAGGAAACCTGCATATTTTCGAAATCATAAAAAAATATATTTTGAAAATATGTGAAGTCCGCCAATCCGCAGTGGGGCCGCGTGGCGGACGATACCCTCTGTACAGAGGAGGCCTTTGCCCAGCAGTGGGACATTTATAGGCTGATACTTTAAACAAAGCATCAAACAGAAACATTTGAAACGGATGCAAATCGAACGTACAACCCGTATCCGAAGCAAAGAAACCGCACCTACCAGGTCAGTGATGATTTGTTTTACTTTAAGAGATGCAAACGTTTAGGCGGTTCATCTGATAATACACGATAGCATCTGCCTTTGACTACACTTGCTCCAACGGTAGTGAGCTTCAATTTAACTTTTTTGTCTTATTTTTTACGTGGAAACATTCTTCTACAGATTCTTTTACCCCTACCTCGGATCGTGGGAGCGGCACAGGTTTGCGGGAGTCCCGCTCATAGCCAACGTCACGTTGCACTCGTCTTTGTCGCAAACGCCGGGGCGAAGACACATTTTTAAATGTGAGAAGGGTGCAAACGAGCAGTTAACCTGATGTTAAGTGATAACCACCAACCATTGACATATGTAACAAACGGAGGGTTGTAGGTACGTTGCCTTTTCGTAAAGTGGGCGCCGGTTACCTCAATCACTAGACAAAACGCACAAGTTCAACACTTCCATTTCACGTCGGTCTTCCGTGAGGCCTTTACCAGGCTCACCTAAACAGAAAACATCGCGGGGAATAGTTTTTGCTTTCACTAGCCAGTTACACATTTTCCCATAGTTTGCACCATCAATCGGACAGAACGGGAATGCTTCCTTGCCGCTCGGTTTTTGCGGCTTCCAATCTTCAGGGGAAACGGAGCGAAGACGGCCTAATTGGACTTTTTGCAGTTCTCTCGAAACGTCGCAACACAGCCGTTCCGTGCGGAAAACCGTAAGCGTTTCTGATGCAAAAAGCAGATTGAGACCTCTTCATTAGGGACTGGGTTAGTTTAGTGGCACGTTCGATGGACTCGTCGAAAATCCCTCCGAATTTCAATCATATCATACAAATTTATAGGTACCTTACTTTATTTAATGAAAAAGTAAGTTATTGAAACCTAGTTGATGTACCGTATTTGGGAAATGATCACAATTTGCCAAAGTATTGGCTTCGGTGCCGGGGGTCGTAAGTTCGATCTCCACACAGGCAACTATGTGTGTGACCCACAGATAATTTTTTTTGTTCTGGGTGTTTGTCTGCGTGAAATTTATGTATGTAAAACGTCCTTACAACACAGGATTATGTTATTCTACAGTAAGGGCAATGTTAAAAAAGAAAAAAAAATGTTCTATATACTATAATAAGACTCCAAGATGCCACAAGAAGGTGTGAGTACCTATATCGCAACGCCAAAGCGCAAGGGTAGGTAAGTAAATATAGTATAGTAAGCGATATGGAACAGTTCTAGAAACAATAATTTTTAATGCAATACTTATAATTTTCACTTATAAAAATACATATTACATAGTGTAATAGAATAAGACCGCAGTGCCTTTTCGGTTCTTCTTCGAACTGTTATTAATTAACCAACTGGTACTTTGGACGTCTGTAAGAGTGACAGAACTAAATAAACTTATGAAGGACTTAACGATGCAAAAACGCATATAAAATTTCGCTTAAGGACTTTTAAAACTGTGCCTATTTCCATTGTTTCAATACGAAATTTTATAGCAACATTCGCGCGAGGCCTGTACGATTATGAACACAAACAAGTAACAATGGATTGTGTAAGCGTTATGCAAGTTTTAGCCCAACGAAGAAATATCCATTGTACGTGTATTCGCCTGCAACGTCTTTTAAGAAAGAAAATCAAACGGTAACTGTACTTAATGACTTCAGTATGGATTCATATGCATATAATACATTTGAATGAGGTGGATACAAAGAAGCTTTCGTCATTTAGTAACTTTTTTCTTATCTTCAATATTTGATCAATTTCGTCTATAGTTTTAAAATTATTTTTAATAATACTACTCTTTACATAATTTCGACCGGTTTGTTTCATAGGTGACCATTATTAACATGGGCGTTTCGATAAGTTGTGGCTGTCTTATATGAGTCCTTTAGGGTGATTTCGTATCTGTGTACTAGTAATTGACTTATGCAGGCGAAGCTTATACAAGTTCCGATAAGCGCTCATTATTTAGGATTATAATAATAACAATAACTCTTAGTCCTTGCCAAGGATCAAGTTGTATAACGGATGATTAGAAAACTATTTACTACAACATTTCAAACGCCTCATGTAAGATTTATAAGTATAAAAAGCAATGTCTTTTGACAAAACACTAATTTCATATACAATTAAATAAGTGTTTTGCAATTGTTATTTTTTATTTTATTTTTATTTATACAGGCTTACAACCTAAACATAGGTATAAAGAAACAATTATTATTCTGATGTTATGCACTTTAAAACAAAGTTTAACATTGTATATATGCATTTAAATTAAAGGTAAACCCAACATCGAATCGAACAGTACCCTACAAAACTAGCACTACAATAAAATATGAAAATGAAAAAAAAAAGTGGAAAGAAAAAAAACTTTTTATATGAAAAAATCATTGGGCTGTGAAATGTGCTAGCATAATAGCTGTTTAAATAATGGAAACAGTAATTTGTGCGAGGTGTAATCTATTAAGCCGCATTAAGTTCGTGTGGAGCAATGGGCTTCCGTAATTGATCTTCGATTCGACCCGGTCCTGCCTTGGCAATAAATAGGAAGTGTTGATTGTTGCAGGGACGGGAGATTTATACGGCGAAATGAATTACTTTGTTATAAGGTGCTAAAAGAACATAATAGTACACGTCAACGACGTGCATTTATTGGTTGAAATGTCGAAGTGGAAGTCGCTAGGTCTCTAGGCGACAAGCGTGGCAAGCCAAATAACAATCTATATAAATAAAATTATAGGGATGTACACGGCTCTGCGTTTATCAAGGAAAAATGTACATAAAGGTTTCAAAAATTCTTCTAATTATTATTTCTACGATAATTGGTCTTATCTAAAGAAATATTGTAATATCTATATTTAAAGTTGTATCAAAGTTTTAAGAAACAACGATCGTTATAAGCAATAAGTGTTATCCGTTTCCTTGTCGTGTTAGATAATGTAATACACAACGCAGACGAAGTCGCGGGTATCAGGTATTATATAATATTTCTAGATTATATTCTATTCTCTTTCCGAAACACAACCGATATCTTTTAACTTCTTCTAATTAACATGATTTTATTACATTACAACAGTAGATCTTTCGTTATCATTTTGAGCTGTTTTTGTACTCAACTTTACCTTGTTTTTATTACTATAATTTATGTTGAAATATATAAGGGTAAGAATAAAATGGTCAACATAGGTATGGGGCACACCTACTGTAAAATGCGGGGCAATCATCTTCCCCATGACCCAGAAAGAAACCTTGTAAATAACTCATGGGCCGCTTGTAGAGCGACTTATCCTTTATTAGGCTGTTGTATCTACGTTGGGTAAATGTTTAGTTTATGCGTGGGCAATCTAGATCATGTGTAGTGAAATGATAAGCTATTTAAACTTTATACAGTGTTGTTTTCATTTTTGAGATATAAGGAAAACCACACTAAATTAGCGACTTCAAAATTATGTGTACACATTTAACATATTTTCATTTTTGAGTTAGTGCCTAAATCCGGTTCCAAAATCAATTCCAGATTAGGTAGTCCGCTATCAGGTTATTGATTCGAAAGAGGTATTTAAAACTCTATCTATGAAATGGTCCTCGTAGAAAACTGAAACGCAATCGTAAAATAACCGCAACTATCAATTTACTCTAGCGACGTTTTTTATATTAATTTTGTTTTAACAACTGTAATCACAACTATCATATCACACGTGAAAGTACTGAAAACGTGTTGAGTAACACGTTGGATGTGTGACGCGGGATAATCAAATAAAACTTTATGCGAAGCTCTCGGTTAGAGCTTTTCTATAGCAACAACAGACTGTAATGGTGATGTCTTTTTAGTATTGGGAGGGAGTATTGTAGAAGTGCCCATGTGTACTGCGCCAGAGCTTATACGAGGAGGGGGAGGTGAAGTATCCGCACCTGCCTTTAGATGCGGATACAGAAATCCAGTGTTGTTCACCTCCATGAGTTCATTCCATGGTAGTCAAGACCTCCAACTTGTTCACCGGTGAACCCGATATCTCTTAATCGTCTTCCATATGACCGTGGCAGAGAGAGCATACCTTGGCGCTATCTCATACAGGACAGGGACTCGATGTTGTTCAAGCCCCTAGCACGACCAGCAGTGAACCCGAAATATCTTTTGATGGCTTTGTACAACAAGCAAAGCTTGCTAAAATATCTAATATTCCAAAATGAAACAACGCAATTCTTTCGATAAAATTTTGTCAACTTTCTTAAGTCCCAGTGATTTAAGATTTTACACAAGAACCGTGAATACAATAATCTACGGCTTTCACCAGGACCATCCTTATGACAAGTTATTGTATAATTTTATTTGTTTTTGCTCGACTCACTCTACGTTCTCTAAACTACCCCTTAGGAAACAATCAACGCTCCGTTGTTGCACGAAAGCGGACAGAACGACAGACACATATTCATAACGTTACCTAGGTAAACCAAATCACGGTCGCCATTACCGTTAGACTTGCTACTATCAGAGAAGCCAATGTCCAGAAATGAACTGTTTGCTTATTGATAACGTACAACGTGCTAAGAAAACAAACAACTCAGAATCCCTTTCCTACAGCGGTATGTAGGTCCTTTAATTTTTTCTTCAAATACCGAAATATCAATGTTTTACGGTATACTTTAAAACAAGGATATGTGATATACCTAGTATTATTTGCTTGATCTACAAACCTTTTCCTTTGTCATAATTTTGAAAAAGATATTACACACAATTATTTGGAAACTTTACGTCATCACGTCAACTTTGTTGTAACAGCTAAGGTAGTTACCAAATCAGACTGACAGTTAAATATTAGTGAATCGATGCAAGAAATTGGACCTTGGAATGGCCCTTTAGGTAAGAATATTTTACAAACTTTCTAATTTAGTAATATAAGGTCTCCAGTCTAGCTTATTCGGTAGTAACAAAATAGTAAAAGGTTACATATTATAAAATTTATTTGAATAAAATAATAAAAATATAAAATCTTACATCCTTCCATATTGTAAAACGACAACAGTATAACACCTTTTGTTTATTCAGATGAAATATTATTCACGAAAAATAATATGTTAAAATAATGTTAAACACGTTGAAAAATTTATTCGAAAACTGTAAACGTTAACTACTTTTGGAAAAGTTTTCAAATCTGTTTCTCTAAAGTTATTACTGAAAGCTTATACACAAACACTAATTACTCAACAAATTCAGGACCTACCTCAAGCTTCATGCTCAATCATCAAACGGAAAGAGCAGTAAAGACTTTAGAAGTTGTTTTTAATACTTTT